GGGTGCTGGGCTCGGCGGGGAAGCCCCGGGTGACTTCGCGGGCCACCGCTCCCCTTCTTCGCGTGATTTCTACTCTCTGATGTACGCCCAAACCCTTCCCAGCCCTAATGTTTCCTCACTCTCCCTGGTGTTCTGTACACCTCCCTCGGCTCCTTTCGGGCTGCCTGTCCCCGTCTCCACTCGTCCTTCTCTGCTTCTCCCGGTTATATAACTCTTCCTCTCGCCGTGTCCTGGTTTCAACTCCACAGACTCCGCCCTGGAACAGCGCGGGGAGGGGCAGGAGAGTTGGGGACCCAGACAGATTCCGGCTGGCGTCCGGCGAGGGCACCGGGATCTCGCAGAAGGGAGATGGAACCCCTCGCATCTCAGTGCCCCTGTCCCCCGCCTCCAGCCCCCTTCCCCAAGATTTTTCCCAGGAGAGAGAAGGCACAGTAATTCCAAGGGGCGTGTCGGGACGCCGGTCAGAAATGTAGGTTGGGAGGTCAGGGCTGGAGGCGGAGAGGAGGAGGCTCCAGGAGAGTCCCTGGGATTGGAGTCATATGGGGGAAAAAGAGATAAAGGTTAGACGCCTGGGTTCCTTTTCGTCTCTTTTTTGGATTCCCAGAATTCCTAAGGCTATTTCCCAGGAAGCTTAGCCTGCAGCCTCCTCCGCCCTATAGGGGTCAAAGGTCTATGTTAGAGGTGGCCTGGGATGATGTCACCAGTGCACGTGCCCCGGGATGGTTGCCAGGCAGTGAGGCCTCCTCCCCTTCCATTCCCTCCCACCTCTAACCCCGAGTCCAGTTCCAGTCCCGTGCCATCTCTTTCCCCTCTCTCTTCCTTTGGCCTTAGCGTCCTGCAGGTGGGAAACCCCGGCCTGGAGTTCTGTGAGGGGGAGGGGCACGGGTGTGGTGTGGCTGAAAAGACTTTGCCCCTTTGCCAGGCTGAGAACCCTGGGTCACTTTTCTCTAGGTTGGTACTGAACAGCTTCCGAGCGCCTCCTCCCCGTTGGGGCTCAGGCTTGCTAGCAGTCTTTTCACCTTTCCACCTGCTGCCACCAAATGTGTGTTGCCCCTTCCCCACATAGAGCTGAAGTAGGAGCGGTTGCAAGATAGCTCCCCCAGCAGTGCTGCGTGAGGGATTCCACACTGGACCCCTACACCCCTACATTCCCTTCATCAGTGGCACTTTCCCCAAACAGTGAGGAAAAGGGTCAAGAAACTGTTAGACTTTAAAGTCTGCATTCTGTGTAGGCGGCTGGATGTTTGGGGCACCTCACCTAGGTAGGTGGGTTCAGTTGCTGGCTAGGTGTGCCCTTCGCCATGGACTTAAGTCCCGGAGTTGGTAATGGTGTTGGAAAACATGGGTTTCTGCTTTTTATGTGCCTTACAGCTTGGGCTGTCAGATCAGATCTGAATTCTATTTCCAGCTTGGCCACTTTGTGGCAACTGGGACTTGGAAAGGTCACAACCTCTCTGAGCCTCATAGTCTTAATCCGGAAAATTTAAATATCAATACCTACCTTTAAGGCAGAAGGGATGGGAGAAATGAGATAATTTATATGGAACGTTTAGCACATCGCCTGGCGTAAAATGAACACTGAATGAATGCTTGTTGTTTTGAAGTATTGCTATTAAACGATATTATTTTTATTATGGTGGTGGGCCTACTTCAAACTAGCCATGACCTCAGGAGTTCATTAGGGAGGAGGGAGAGTTTGTGTTAATTTGGAGGTGAGGAGGGGCTGGGGTTACCTTTGACTGCCTCGTGCACTTTATTTGACAGGGCTTTAGTCAGATTTGTATTGCTTTCTCTGGGATTATCCCTCCCGCCCCCTTGGAGAAGAAATATCTAAGACTATTCCTTTGGCTGTGAAAATAAAATAATTGTGTTGCGGTTCTTGATTTTTGAAGCAAGACCCCAGTCCCCTCCCATGTTGTTCTCTAAGCCTTTCATTTTGCAAAGGGACTCCACAGTTTCCCTAGCGGGGACCGGGCTAGGCTGAGGGGTGTGTAAAAGGTTGGGGTGGGTGGGTGGAGAGAGACTAGTGCTGGGGGCTGGGGGGG